TTTTTCTCTCTCCCTCCCTCCTACTAATCCACTCTACATCTCTTTCTTGTTTTCCTGTCTTACTCTCTCCCCACTTCTTCTCTCTTTCACTGTCTCTCTTTTACTCTCTTCCATTTTCCTCCGTCTCCTCTCTTTTTCTCTCTCTTTACTTCTGTTTCTTTCACTGTTTCTCTTTTACTCTCTTCCGTTTTTCCGTCTCCACTCTCTCTTTTCTCTCTCTCTCTACTTGTGTCTCTCTTTCACTCTTTCTTTTACTCTCTTCCATTTTTCCCCATCTCCTCTCTTTTTCTCTCTCTCTCTACATCTGTTTCTCTCTTTCACTGTGTCTCTCTCGTTCACTCTCTTCCATTTTCCCCCATCTCTCTTTTCTGTCTCTCATTCCTTGCTCTCTCCCTCCCTGTTCTCTCTCTCCTCTCTGCTTCTTCCTCCCTCTGTCTGCCTCTCCCTGCTTGCCCCCCCCCCACCTCCCTCTCTCTCTCTCTCTGGTAGTATAGAAACAACTGTCCCTGGTTATGGTCCAAGGCATCCATCTTTATTGAGTATCATTACCGTGGAAACGCTCCTGGAACCTGCCTCCAACTTATCATCTATAAACATCACTGTCAGCACGGATTCTGCAATATATCCTCATCCCCCTCTGAGGGAGAGCGCTACTAGCGCGGGCAGCTGAAAACTCAGGGCCAAACGCAGCACTTTCCACCGTATTTCCCCCTGCGCTTCTGCTGCTGTAGAACCGAGCAGCGTAATCCATCCAGTGGCACGAGGGCAGCGGGCTTTCGCGGGAAAATAATGAGCCGGTTTTATGGATTCGAAATAAAGCAGGGTTTCTTTTCTTTACGACAGCCGAAACTGTCCCATATATCTCCGTGAAACATTGCAATCATTTGTGAAGGGGAGGGCACGCGCAGAAGTGCAAGCCCAGCAGATCGTGGAGAGATAAAGCAGGCCGAGAATTCACATAAAAGTCTTCACAATGGGAAAAAGTTAGAAGTGCCTTCCAGTTAATAACTTTTTCATAAAAGTAATAGCTGAGTCATAACTTCATATTGTTGGTGTAAGTAGGCTGCCAGTGACAGACAGTCCATTACCAAGAGGGCGAGGAAGAGATATGGATGGAGACACGTATATATCTAGATATCAATATACACTTAATGAATGTGTCTTTCAAAAGCACACAGCTAAATAAGTTTCTGCTTTTCTTCTTGTATTTGACGTACAGTGGACATTTTTACACTGTAAAGTGAGCGTGATTTCTTAATAACCTGGGCAGTACATACTGTGCAAAAGTCTTAAAGGGCTGAATTTCCAACACTTTTTTGAAATGAAAGAGTTTGAGTTAGTATGTAATTAATAACTTTCAAATATATATTATTCACTTCCCAGTCCATACAGTCCTTACATGGGAACTAAGCTGCAAAACCAGCCTGGTTTGATTTCACTGTTTTTGTAATGTCACAAACACAAGTGCATTTACATTTCAGCTTATTTATCCTATAGCTATTTAACCCCGCCCACTCATATTGAAGTTATAAAGAGTGTTTCAGCCTGGGCTGCTATTTAAATCAAGCACAATACAGAGCTGCCAATCAGAACACAGCTCATTTGCAAATATCAATCTTATAGGCATAGTAGCAAAAACAGCTTGTTTAAGTCTAACCCTGCATTCAAACTGGCAGCAACTTTTTTCGCCTCCTTTCCCCCCAAATCGCTGGTTGCTCTTCGCCTGTGGGCGTTTCTGAACTCGAACTGACATTGTTCAGCATGGTTTCACTGACACCAAGCACAAATTAGACGCTTTCCCACTAAAAATAAAAATCCTGGTGAAAGCTTGTGTGCTCATTTTTATTTAATGTGAGGAAAACAATACCTGGTCTTTGTGATTACTGTCTTTTTGTGACAAAAGTACCACCGCCATTATTCCATCTCTAGTAGGAACAATTATCTAGGAACCAAAAAAGGAGCGTACCGTTTTATAGTGGTGGAGATAAAGTGTGTACTAGGCTGCTCAATGCTCAATTCCTATTGGTAGTCACCACTGTTGCCAGAAATTGCCAGCTCTCATTGAAAATAAATGAACTGCGGCCACTTTGTTGCTTTGTGTCATTGCCGGTGTGAACGCAGGGTAAGAGATGAAGAGAGGTTGGGAAATGGTCATGAAAGAATGAACAATGTGTCTTTTCAGCATATGAAACCACACAAATGTTACTGACCACCCCAGAGTCCAGACCTTAACATCACTGAATGTGTTGGGGATTACTTGGATCATAAGAAGCAAGCAAGCAAAGTTTATTTATATAGCGCTTTTTACAACAGGTGTTGTCACAAAGCAGCTTTACAAGGAAATCAGCATTACAGAAAGAAATCCGGGTCCAAGCCCCCATAAGCAAGCCAGAGGCGACAGTGGCAAGGAAAAACTCCCTAGGAAAAAGGAAGAAACCTTGAGAGGAACCAAGACTCAGAAGGGGAACCCATCCTCCTCTGGTCGACACCGGATAGTAAAACATTGTTAGTATAAAGTATTATAGTACAAAAACAGGGAAAACAGGCATAATTATCTTATTAAATAGGAAATTTTATTTCATGATGAGAGATGCAGTACTGTTCAAAAGTCTTAGGCACCTGAAAAATGGTAAGTAAAGATCTTGTAATGCCATTTATCTGGGCATTAAGCATTTACTTCAAAAAACACAAACATTAGAATAAATAGGCGATACATCGTGATTTTGTTTCCGTTTTCCTTTTCCATTTCCAGAAGTAGAAAATGCAACCAACAGTGAAGTGCAGTGAAGTAAGCATGACATTTAAAATAAAGAACAGCTACCCCTTCTCTAGGGGCAGGCATTGGTGGCAATTTGTGCATAATGGCCTGCAGTGAAGACAGCCAGTACATATGCACTGCTGTATTTGCCAGCTAGGCATTTTCTGTAATCACTCCAAACAATAAAAAAAGACTCAGTGAAAGTGACAAAGCTGCAGGCTGAGCTGAGTTCTTTTGGGTTCAGATGTTGGAGTTAATTTTACTCTGATGAGTTTACTGTGCGGTTTTTAATTGACATGTACTTTGGCTGTCACAGCCACATTCAATCTTAACAGAGTATTTCTATACAGCAACACTTAAAATAGCTTGCAAGCTGACAGCTGTGACAAGCGCAGGGCAATGCAGAGCAGTAGTCTAATGTATTCCTGCTAAATTAGTGTGGAAGTATCTGACCATCGGTGCATACACCTCCAATTGTGCAGAATCAGGTTGTATGAGGATTACACTGACTGAATGTATGAAGTGGCTATAAGCATTCCAAAGATAATTAATTTCAAATATAATATTCAAATATGATCTACACACAATGGCTAGATTGTTTATAAGACTTTAAAGTGGTGAATTTCTAAGGCTGATAATGGGATACGGTGTATTTTTACATGTAGCAGAATCAGCAACAGTGCAGAATGATATTAATGTTATGTGCAGCCGTGCACCTTTTGAAGCGTAAGACAAAAGGAGGTCCCAGAAATCACAAAGAAGCAGAAAACTGCATGCTATGAAAAACAAATTTTGCTATTATATTGCTACGTTTCAGCTGTAATATTGTAACATATTGAAAATAAAGCCAGTGACTTGCATTATTTTACAAACTTTTGTTTATTCTTGTTGAATGAGGGACAAATACTGCAGCCAAGGGCTAATATCACAATACTGGCCAACAAATCATATGTTGCAGTAAAGCTGCACAATATATTGACTGTGATACTGGCCTTCACAACAGCAGTATTACCTATTACTAGAATATCACCGTTACTAGCTACTGTGGACTTACTTGGAAGATGTATTAATCTATTCATGGTCAATGTTTTCGACTGTTTTCAGAAAGCCTCACTTCCTCTGTGGCAAAGCATCCTATTTGGGAAAACAAACAGGCCTAAAGGTAAAATGTGCCTCTTAAAGCTAAGATAACAGCTACACTTGATTTCCCAGAGAGAAAAAATATATAAAATATATATAAAAAAACCTGACAGCATACCATACTGGCTAAGGGCTAATAAACCAGAACCCTGTCCTGTTACAGCACTAAGCATGTCTGGGGTGAATAGCTGAAGATTGTGATGTCTCATTTTTTTCACAGTACTTCACTTTGTAAAGTGGTTCTTTACCACTAGCTAGGTATGTAGTACCCTTTGCTAAGAACCAGCACATCTCAGCAAAGGTCCCACAGTCTACAGAAACATTTGAGCAGTGTAATGCTGTTTGCACAAAAAACACTTCCACTGAAGCGTTCACTTCCACTTTTTTAAACATAATTTTTATGCATCAAATCATCAAGCAATATGGTGATGCAATATACCATTAGAAAGCTTGAAATCTCAGAATTCAATTCCCGCAAACCATTTTATGATCCATAAGCACCAAATGGCAAACACAAGCCAATCTGTGGGTCCTTACCTTCAAAGCCTTGCTGCTATGTTTACAGAGACATCATAATCTAAAACATGTCAGAGATCAGTTTGGAGATCTACGAGTCAGGCAGAAATAAACTCCTCCATTCTATCCTCTGTTACTGTGTGTCAGTAATTGACACAATTATTCTGATGGTTGGGAAAAAAAGTGAGCGTTACCTTTCAAATGAGACTAAGATCATGACTGTAGCGCAAATGTGGGAATAGTGCCCCCTTTAACTTTGGGTATGCCATCAGGCAAAAACGGGGTGACAGTTAACAGTTTAAGGAGGAAAAATGACACAATGCCTTCAGGTTCATCCAGAAACCTGGGTTCCGAGTGAAAAGGTTGAGACCCCTCAGAACCCCTATCATTGCACCCCTGATTTATACACGTATCTGTAACAAAATTGGCTTCTGTAGTGGAATGTCTAACTACTGTAGTTGATTAAATATCTATCTATCTATCTATCTATCTATATATATATATATATACATAATTATTTATTCACTTATATGTGTCCCTGTTGGCTGATCAGTATATGGTCATATGGAGCAGACCAGGCACTAACCTGCGGCGTCATGCCATGGCAGAGGTACAGGATTGGGATGTTGTCTGTGTCTGGTCCCTGATCCATGCACAGATCCGGCCGCAAGCCATTCTTCAGCTGTGCAAACACACACATGCAGTCAGAGCCAGCAGATCAGGCCAATTTCTTCTCCACAAAAACCACAGAGAAAGATTCATATTATGAATTCAGAAAGCATTTCGCTCTCGCTCTGCCTGCTAATGGCCAATATGCTATCCAGAAAGCCCTGGAGCTCAACTTGGCTTTGTCCTCACAATGGAGCTGTTAATTATGGCATTCCACAAAAGAATGGCAATTAGCAAACTTCTCTGCCAGCCTAGGATTGTAACAAATGGAGGAATTACAAATGTTAATAGAGCTTGCCTTGAGACAGGACTATAATATTTAATACAAATGTTTTATTATTCACCATTAGAAAAGTAAATTTATCTGGCACTGCATTTGGCTAAATGAGCCTAAGGTTTCTAATAGCCTTCTGAAAAAGAAAAGAACTCTTCTGAAGAGCAGAAATGTCTCTTACTGTCGACTTATATAACAAATCAATTTGTTGCTGAGAGACATGAAAGCGCATACTGACCGTGCCATAGGCGATGGTGTCGGCGTATGTTCTCATTTCCGAGTAAATGTTATGTAGGAACCAGCGAAAGGGCTTACAGTGCAAGCGCTGCCTCAGGAGCTTTCTCTCTCTGATATCTCCGATATCGATCCCTGAGTCCTACACACATACAGGGTTTATGAACATGTGAATTACGCCAGCCCTCAAATCACGGAGAATGCAGCATGAATCAAAGTGCAATAGCTCAGCTCTGTGAATCGTCTGACCTCCAGGACGTTTTCATTAACATAAACATTATAGCAAAATATCAGAACTCAACAAACAAAAACTTCTTAGGGTTAATAACATAATCTGTTGTGAGTCACTCTTAACACACAGAACATTCTGAGCTCTGAATATGTGTTGTAATAAAAGCTGTTATTATCCATCGTCAAGGCATTGCAGAAACAGTCAAACAGTGTTCTCCAAACGCTGTTCTCCAGCAGAACCCGATAAATCTGTTCAGCAAATCAGTGCACAGTATTCAGGTCAGGTGAGGCAAAATGACCGGGAACTGTTTTAGACAGAATCTCGAAAGGCTCCTTTCTCCCTACAAAGCGCAGCACATAGGTCTTAAAATAATGGCTACTGCATCAAAACAGAGCAAAGTGTGTCTAACAAAGAACCACTCTGGATTCAGCCACGTGCACACAATTCATACTGGACATAAAGAGCAATATTTCAGTGTAAAAGCCAACATTTCATAACTCACATAGTGCACTATATAGGGAGCAGTGAGCCATTTGAGATTAGCCTTAGGGTTTTCAGGTGTGATCTTATAGACATTTAATACTGACCATTAATGGGCTGTTTTTGTTGCAATTTTCAGCACTTTACCAGCATGTTTTGAAGTTAAAGAACCTGAAATTTTGCAATTAAAAGAAACTTGTGTCCATTACTTGGCTTTGTTTAACATGAAATGACCACTGGAGTTATCTGCTTTTGCCAAAAAACAAAATTTAAACAAACAAAAAAACCCCAGTTTTTGAAAAAAGTTTAATTTTGTAAGTTGTATGCATTTTATTGACTTATTTTTACTTCATCAGTAACCCAGCTGCAATTTGATTATTACCTGGAAAGCACAGTAAAAAACTGAAAATTTCAGTTTTCTGAAATTAATGATTTCTGAAAATTCATTAAAACAGAGATATCTGCTTTTCCAGATGAACTCTCATTTGCAAATTTAATAGAAAATTTAAGATAAAGGCGTGCTAATCTATCCTTTCCAAGCTGGGGATTTCATTTATTACATAATATTAAATATAATGATCAGTTTCATAGCTCGGTTTGCTTTACCTGTAGTGGAATGTTCCAGGCCATGTAGACGTGGTCCTTAAACTCGTCCATCCACACCTCGGCCACTCGCAGAGCATTCCTGCGCACGTGGGTTGGCAGGTCTTGAGTGTAGGGCTTGTGAGCGCGTTCAATGTGGGCTATTCTGGAACAGGGGAGAACCTCCACACTGCCCCCACACAGCCACACCTAGTAACACACACACAAATAAGGTTAACCCCTACTGAACGTCTCGTCAGTCTTCCATTCAGAGACTTTATCTTTGTCCCCTATAACTCATTAAAATCTGTCACTAGAGTAGTTGGTGAGCGCAGATTCCACAATGGTCAGTAAAATGGGTCAGTACATGGAACTGAAGCTTTCTGGGTGCTACTGTTTCCTATCACTGTATAAAAGAAGCTCCAAGCTGCCTTTGTTGGTTGCACTATGTGTCTCTAAGCAAGCATGTACACACATTCAGAACACAGTGCACATCATTACCGAAATGCTTATTGCTAAAATGTTTCATCAGAGCAGTGGGGATGCCTCAGCACTCAGGCCTAATGATTTCAGCAAAATACAAAAAAACCTGTAATTTTTACCTAATATTTATTTAATAGACTCCTCATGGCTGTTGTGTTTGAACTCTGGAAGTATTATAGTAATTCTCTTATTCCAGTTATTAATTATGGTTATTATTATTATTATTATTTCTCTTATTTTTTATTTTAAGTTTTGGTTGTACACCATGGGTTTAAAATTTAAATAGAATTTCCAATCAGGTTTTTTTTCTCTATGGTATCTGGGTAGATGCATCCAAGCAGCCTCTCCCATTTGTTAGGACTTCAGGAGCTGAACTGAGGGACTGAAAGACTTTCTGTTTAACTGCTACTTCAAATATATGTTACTGACCATTACAAGCTTCAAATAAGACACGGAATGTCTTTTAAGACCTTCAGATGTCTGTGTTTAATCTACAAATGCACTTCCAAAAAAGCTGGGACAGTAGGTTACAAAGAAATAAAAACAGGAAGAGTGATTTGTATTTTGATCTGTATTTTACAGGTATTTAATTGAAAATAGCACAAAGAAAATAATGTAACTAAAATAATGTTCATAATGTAACTTATTGACTTCATTATTCATTATTGTTAGCTGGCTCTAGCCCTCTCTAGCTCTGCTACAACAACCAACGTCCTGGCAGAACCTAGTCACAACAAAAGTTCCCTAAAACCAACAATGCTCACAACTTTCTGAACAAGCTATCCTATTATTTTTTAACTAAACAGAACACAGGAATGCTTTGATGCCACAACATGCTAATTCCAAATTTGATGCCTGCAACATATTACAAAGAAAGTTGGGACAGGGGAAATGTAAGACTGGGAAGTTTGATCAGAAACACATGTTTTGGAACTTTCCACAGGTAAACAGATGAAGAGGTAACAGATGATGCTATCATGACTGGGTATAAATGGAGCATTCATGAAAGGCTCAGGTGCTAATGAGCAAGGATAAGTCGATGTTCACCACTCGAAAAACCGTAAGCAAAAAGTCCAACAATTTAAGAGCAACATTTCTCAACAAATGAGAGCAATTTAGAGTTTTCACGTTGTGAATATATAAATAATGGACATCATGTTCCTTGGGTTAAAGAGGAAAAGACCATCCTGGTAGGTAGGTAGGTAGATGGGTTGGTAGGTAGGTGGGTGGGTGGACGAATGGATTGATGGATAAAACTTTAATGATCCTGAACGGAAATTGCAGTGTTTCAGTAGCAAGACATATAATTGCACATAAACTTACAAGTAAGTCCACGATGTGGGGTGTGTTAGTAGCAGTAGTAGCAGTGACATGGATAACTTGTACATCTGTGAGGGCACCGTTAATGCTGAAGGGTACGTAAACAGTTTGGAGCAACTTAGCTGCCATCTAGACAACGTCTTTTTCAGGGACGTTCATATTTGTTTCAGCAAGACTATGTCAAGCCACATCTTGCATGTGTTACAACAGCATGGTTTTGTAGTGTAAGAGTGTGCTGGTGCTAGACTGACCTGCCTGCCGCCCAGATCTGTCTCTCATTGAAAACATATGGCACATTATGAAGCACATATATACGACAACAGAGACCCGGGACTGTCAAACACAACATTCATTACACTTTCACAACTATAACAAACAGGGTCCTCATTACTAAACGCTTACTGAATGTTGCTAAAAGGAAAGGTGATGTAACACAGTGGTAAACATGCCCCTGTTCTAAGTTTTCTGCATATTGCAGACATCATTTTTAGAATAACCATGTATTTACAATAAACAATAAACGTAATTAATTGAAACATTAAATATCTTTGTGCTTGTCTTTTGGTGACCTGGATACAGGTCAAAAGGTTTAATTAATTCATTAATAATAGGTGTTTTTTCCTTTGTTTTAATTCAATTTTGACATTTATGTTCCAAGCTGATGGCTTAGAGCTAATAGTCATAGTTGCCACTGCATCAGAATAACTTAAAGTTAGAAGTGGAAGTATATTCTTATTGCTCCATATATTTTCAGTTTTTTAGATGACATTCTTGACCTTCCAAAATAAGCAGCATTAAGATGTTATTAAACAAGAGCAGATTAAGGGAGAAAAACAAGGCCTCTGCGTTAAAGGATTTGTAAGGGGCCATTAATAAGGGACCATTTATAAAGCAGGTGCTTTGGTCCAAATTCACCTGAAACATGCAGCACCTCACAGTCACTAATTCCTCTAAATGTCAGGATTCCATTTAGAACAATTTACTCAAACAAAATACCCCATTACTGCTAATTTATCACAATTTAGCCAGCAGCAGAAACCAGATTAAACCCTCAAAAAACAAATACTGTGGGCTACAAGCAAACTAGACCATCAAGCGTGCAAGGAAAGCAGTAAGGGTAAAGTAATGTAGTGAGTTACAATGACCTTTTAACAAGACAACACAATACATGCAATAGAAGACATTCACCCATTTTTCACAGACTAAAGACAGTGAAACACTCTTTACTACATTGTATTTCCTCTACAGGGCCTTTGGAGCCATCGTTCACGTCAGCCAATAAAATTGCTCAAAGGGTGTTACAACGGTCCTTCTTACTTTCATAATAGGAAATTCATTTGCAGCTGTACGCACCATTTAACTCTGTATCTCTGGATCTCTTGCTCTGTAATGGAGGAGACAGTGGGAGCTGGTTTACAGGCCGTGTTTGAAGAGCTGTTAAATACAACAGTGCAGCTGTGTGTGCTGGTGGAGTACAGTGTAGCCTGCAGTGCTTTCAGGGATTAGAACACGTTTGCACAGAGATCTGCTGAATTAGGCTATAAAGACAGATTCTGTAGCGAAACGCAGCCGAGCGACGCTCCTTCAGTGAGATTCTGATTCGCTCTGATTCCTTTTCATCCACCCACTGCATTCCAGCTGAGAGCCACCACCAACTCCACATCCCCCTCTCTCTCCCCACGGCTTTCTTTCTCTTCCTCCATCTCGCCGTCCATTTCTCTTTTTCCACTTCTCTCCATCTCTCTTTCTCACTCTTTCTTTCTTCCTCTCTCACTCTCTTCATCGTTCTCTTTCTCTCTCACTCTCCCATCACTCAGTCTCTCTCTTTGTCCCCTCAGATCCCCTTCTCATTCATCTCTGTCTTTCTCTTCTCGCTCTCTCTCTCGCTTCATCTCTCAGCTTTTCTCCCTCATCTCTCTTCCTCTATCTCGCTGGCCATTTCTCTCTTTGTCTTTCTTTTGCCCTCTCTATTTCTTTATCCTGATGTCCATTTCTCTTTCTCCACTTCTCTCCATCTCTTTCTCTCATTCTCCAACTCTTCCTTTCTCCCTCTCTCACTCTCTTCACCTCTCGTTCTTCCATCACTCAGTCTCCCTCTTTCCTGCTTCCTTTCGCATTCATCTCTGTCTTTCTCTTCTTGCTCTCTCTCTCTCATCATCTCTCAGTTATTCTCCTTCATTTCTCTTCCTCTATATCACTGGCCATTTCTCTCTTTCTCCATTTCTCTCTATCTTTCTCCAGCTCTTTGTCTTTCTTTTGCCCTCTCTCACTGACTCTCATTCTCTCTCTCACACACACATTATTTTTCATGTTTTGTATGTATCTTAAAGACCCTCATTGTGCTTGAACTAAAGGTAATGATGCTGAATTTGAGCGCACTTGGTCTCCATTCCTTTCCAGTCTTCCACATCACATATGTGAAATTGTTGAATTTGCTCAGGTTTGGCCGAGATGTTATACTTGACGATGTTACTGATGTTATTATTAAGGCAGATGGCTAAGTTTGTTTGTTTGTGTTTGTATTCTAGACCGACCACCTTTATGTCTAGCAAGCTTGTTGTGAGTGGGATAGGGCAGGGGGGTAGTTCTGTCTTTCTTGCTCTCCTTTTTCTTTGCAATAATGATAAAAATCATTATTGCAAAGAAAAAAAATGGAAGCAGTAAAAATGATAAAATGCTAAATATTGTCATGTATGGTGAATAAGGAGGCTGGATGTAAGCGCAAGCAAACTTTAATAAACAAAACAAACTAGTAGAAACACTGAGTACAAAATAAAAACTACAAACAGAGGGCAGGCACAGAACCACTACATATAACAAAGTGACACGTAGACTAGTAAACCATGGACTGAAACAAAGGGCTTGATATAGCTACAAACAATAGGGGACACATGGGAGAGGGAGGAGACAGGGACTACAAACAGGTGAGAACCCTATTAGGGAAGGTGGGAAAAGGGGCGGAGCAAGGAACCAAAACAAAACACAAGCACATGGCTAAAAGCACATGGCTACAGCACAGGGGACAAAACAGACACAGACAGACGAAACAAATATATGTTTTCTGCTTTTTTCCGATGCTGAAAAGTGAATAGCTTGTACTTAATGGCCATTGTGAATTTATATTAAATAAAATGTAAAAGTGATCTATAAAAAAAGACCCCTCATTGGGATTATACAGGTCAAACAGCAGCATGATGGATTTTATAAAAGCAGAGAGAAAACTCTAAGTGAACCAAAACTATGAAGTAAATGATGGATTCTCTTCAAAACCTTAAACATTCAAAACATATTATTATTATTCTGCTGTAGTTCACAGAAACAAGAGCTTCAGCTGTCAGTTTAGAACCCATGTGTCAAACACAAGTCCCGCGGGCCACATCAGGCCCGCTACACAATCCTATCCGGCC